CTGGTTTATTTGCACTGAACTTCTGTTCTGTTTCATGTTTAAACCAGTTTCTGATCACTTACACGGGTTTGTGTGTAACGTCTGTCCCTAGCCCTGTTGTGTTACAGATTTGAACTGGTTTTCAATCACTTATACTAGTTTATGTGTAATTTCTGTCCCTAGCCTATCTGAGCATGAGCCCACATTCCATTAGCGCAGTCATTTAACCAAGTCACTTTATCTCAGCAGTGCATAATAACCAATAGAGACATGCAAACCATTACCAAAATGGAATAAAAAGCAGCTGTATTTTAGGCCTTCAATTTATTAATACAGAGGGAACTTTAAAATCAACTTGACAAAATACTTTTAAGACTAGATCCTGCACTCCAAATCATGGAACCCTTATACTGGAAAGAACTGAGCCCTCTCCATTTCTCCATTTTCTCATACAGATTTGACATATCCATATAGATGCTTTGATAAATTTTCCCCATTGGAAAGTACTAACAGTCCCAGCTCTTAGTTGGGCTCTGAATAGAATCATACATAATTTTCCCACTTTCCAGCTGGCCCCAGATTTTTCAGCACATTTGACTTAAGCTTAGGCAGCATGGTTCTCTTTCTTCTGAAAACAATGCAAGTGAGTAATACCATGACCAGGCAGTCTCCTAAGATTAAAAATAATCTTAGCTATAATAAAACAGATATATACATTTTCTTCGTAGGTTACTCAGGGGTGGATCCAGGGTGGGGTGTGATGGCATGGTCTCTCACTGCTTTCAGAACACTCCCCAGAAACAGCATCTGGGGATTTTCTGTAAGTCCCCAAAGCAGGGAAGATCTCCTCTCCCTTCCCCTTCATACTCAGAAGCACACTCTCTGATCCCCCAGTCACAGAATCATAAAAATCACAGAAAATTAGGATTGGAAGGGACGTCAGGAGGTCACCTAGTCCAACCCCCTACTAAAAGCAGGACAATCTCCATCTAGATCATCCCAGCCATGGCTTTGCCCAGCCGGGTCTTAAAGACCTCCAAAGATGGAGAGTCTACAGCCTCTCTGGGTAACTTGTTCCAGTGTTTTACTACCCTCATAGTGAGAAAATTCTTCCTAATATCTAACCTCAACTTCCCTTGCTGCAACTTAAGACCATTGCTCCTTGTTCTATCATCTGTCACCACTGAGAACAGTCTAGCTCCAACCTTATTGGTGATGTAACCCGGGCAGTACTCCAAAAGGCACCCCCTCTCCAATTGAAGGAATCAAAGCAGGTGCACAAGCACTGTGGGAGGTGTAGGGACTCTCCTCCCCCTATAGAGCAGAGCCAGACCACCACTGAGGACTTAACCACGTACCTTTTAATGATGGAACAATACTGGGAACATAACAGGCATAATCGGGGGGTATAGTGGACACTACTATGTCCCAAGGGGGCAGGATTCAACAAAGCTTAGACACTTACAATCATTGGCAAAAGACAGGGTTAACAAAATATAAAACACAAACAGCAGAGCAAGCAATACTGGTTGGGGAAATATAAAAAGGCACAAAATGTCAAAGGACAAAGAAATATAGGACCTAGGTACCTTCAAAGGGGAGAAAACACAATGGCCCCTTTCTCTGCAAGAGGAATTTCTTTTTGTTAGTTCATTTACCCCAAGTCACTAAAGCTAGGACTTGAACTTGGATCTCCCATGTGATAGGCAGGAATACTACCACACAGCTATCAGTGCTGGCTCTATTTTAACCTGCTAGGGGTCTTGACCTTCCTGGAGCCCCAGCCTCATGTTGAGCTGCCTGGTCTCTGATTCGAGGAGCTGGAAGCAGAGCTGGGAACCCCTCAGGTCGCTGCTCAGATCCTTGCTGAAGCGGGAAACCTCTCCTGCTGGACACAGCCTCTCATAGGGGATCCTGGAGCCCAACAGGAAGCCTCTCCTGCCACCCACACGCTGTGCTGCTGAGGGTCCAACTGCTGCCTGCAGGTCCTGCTCCTTCAGGCTCTTCTGGGGCAACTGCTTCCACCCAGCTGGCTCAGCTCTTTGAAGCTCCTTCCTCATGAACCCTCACTAGTCTCTTCCCTGAGTCAGCCGTGTTGCCCCTTTTATCCCCCTCCAGGTGACCCAAGGGGCCAATCAGGGGACATGAAGGGCGAGTCTCTGGGACCTGATTGGTGAGGAAATGGAATCCCAAGTCCTCCAATCATCTTTTACCCCTTCAAAACCCCTGAGCCAAATCATTACCAGATTGGTGAGGAAAGGGAATCCCAAGTCCTCCAATCATCTTTTGCCCTTTCAAAACCCCTGGGCTAGGTCACTGCCAGCTAGCCCGTCACAGTGACACACCCCCTAAGATTGGCAATGCTCCCCCTGAAAAAAGCACTGCCGACACTGCCAGCGGCACCTGTGGGTGGTCATTGTCATTAGCCTTCTTGGCAACAAGGGCACACTGTTGGCTCATATTCAGCTTATTGTTCACTGTAACCCCCAGGTCCTTTTCTGCAGAGCTGCTGCCCAGCCAGTCAACCACCACCCTCTACTGGTGCATGGGATTGTTCCATCCTAAGTGCAGGACTTCGTACTTGTTGAACCTCCTTTTGACCCAATCCTCCAATTTGTCTAGGTCACTCTGAATCCTAGCCCTACCCTTCAGTGTATCTACTTAGCTTGGTGTTATCTGCAAACTTGGTGAGGGTGCACTCTGTGCCATCTTCCAGGTTGTTAATAAAGACATAGAACAAACCATGCCCCAACATCGACTCCTGGGCCACTCCACTTGATACTGGCTGCCAACCAGACATTGAGCCTTTAATTACTACTCCCTAAGCCTGATGCTTCAGCCAGTTTTCTATCCACCTTACAGTCCATTCAACCAGCCCACACCTCCTTAGCTTGCCTGGGAGAACTTTGTGGGTGATCATATCAAAAGCCTTGCTAAAACCAAGATATACTACATCTACTGCTTTCCTCTCATCCACAGAGCTAGTAATCTCATCATAGAAGGCAATCAGGTTGGTCAGGCATGACTTGCCCTTGGTGAATCCATGCTGACTGTTCCTCATCATCTCCTTGTCCTCCAAGTGTTTAGAAATGGATTCCTTGAGTACTTGCTCCATGATTTTTGCAGGGACTGAGGTGAGGCTGACTGGTCTGTAGTTCTCTGGATCCTCCTTTTTTTTCCTTAAATATGGGCACTACATTTGCCCTTTTCCAATCATCCAGGACCTCTCCTGATGGCCATGAGTTTTCAAAGATGATGGCCAGTGGCTCTGCAGTCATATCAGCCAACTCAGCACCCTCGGGTGCATCCCATCCAGCCCCATGGACATGTATATGTTCAGCTTTTCTAAATAGTCCCTAACCTGTTCTTTCACCACATTTGGCTGCTCACCTCCCCGCCACAAACTGTGCTGCCAGGTGCAGTAGTCTGGGAGCTGGCCTTGCCTGTGAAGACTAAGGTGAAAAAGGCATTGAGTACTTCAGCCTTTTCTGCATCCTCTGTCACTAGGTTGCCTCCCCCATTCAATAAGGAACCCACACTTTCCCTGATCTTCCTCTCTCCCTGCTCACTGCTTCTGCCACTTGTTAACCTGGGGTTGGGGGAGCCCGAGAGCCACTCCTGTCTTGCTCCAGCCAGGCTCAACAGGAGCCAGATTCAGCTGGGGACAGCAGCAGCACATAGGTTCTCTACCTTGCCCAGTCCCCCAAAGACGTTCCTCACTAACCTAAGAGCAGGTGCAGGGACAGGGAACCGCTACCACCACTGTTCCCAGCCGAGACTGTCTCCCATGCAGCCTGGATAGAATAATACAGAAGTGGCTCTGGAGCTCCCCTCATCCCTGGGTCAGCTGTGGACAGTAGAACATCAGTGGGCTTGTGTGGGCAGGGCATAGGTGGTCAGTCCCACCCTCCCCAGGACCCACCTTTGATACACCCATAATGTATGAACTGGGACTTTCACCTATGTCACCCAAGTCACCTGGTGGGTTTTTTTTGCCTGCATGCAGTGGCCCTGATACAGCAGTAATCTCTAGAAGTTCTGAGTTTCTCTCCTACCCTGACAATGTCAAACCTTCTGGGACCCATCATTACTATTTCAATAGGGCAGACATTAATAGAAAGTAAACAGCACTAAGAGATCTGAGTGCATTAACGGTACTGCAGCAGAGAACAAATATAGCTTAACAGAGGGGAAATATTAGTGCCCTTATGCTTAACCCAGGATAAGAGAACTCTAATTGCATATACCTTCCCACCTCCTGAAGAGAATACCTCCATCACTTGTGGAACTTTATCCAGTTGATGCCATCTTTTATGGTTCTTGTCTTTCCTATTAGCAAGCATTTACAACAATGAATATATGTTCTCTTTGGACTTATGCCCAGGGTAAAAGTAAACCAGAGACAATAGATACAAGTCAAAACTGAGAGAAAATACTGATATTCAAAAAACATTTTGGGTTCAGTTTGAGAGCAGTTGTGTATGCCACTCAAGCCCTAATAGCTTAGGCACTAAATCCAGTGCCTTTGTGAATGCATCTGTAGTTCTGAATTCCGTGAGATTTGGAGATGCTCCCCAGAAATCAGTCTGATTATATTATGTGCCTAAATATGCATTTAGAAACCTAGCACTGGGTACCTGTAACATGAGCTACTTCCCTGGTCTGGCTACAGGTGTTCTTTAACTGGGCTTGCTGGCGTCATGCTGCTGTTGCCTAGCTGCTGCAGCACTACCTTGTTTTCCATGCAGGGCTCTCTCTACCCACCTGTATTGTTTTCTAGGCAACTCAACTTACAACCCCCTGGAGACCTGCTCTTTTGAAGCTCCTAAGGAGCAGCCTTTCCCATCTGAGACTCTCCCTGCAATTGTTTCCCTTTCTTAAGGTAACAGGAGCCCTAGGCTCCTGTTTCAGGACCCATGCTTGAAAATGTTGGTCATAATTATAAGCTTATAGGAATGCTATGAATAGCTGTACAATCAGCACATATGCAAGACAATATCTCCATTTCTATCCTTTTACAGGTGCTGTTCCAACGAACTTCTTGTATGGCCTTGCAGGACGTATGTACCTAAGACAACTCTATCACCCATGTTCTGAAGTGAGTGCTAAGGAACTAGAGTGAGACTGTGACATTTATTTTGATTTGTCACCAAAACTGTGATTTGAACTTAAGTTATTAGATGCAAAATACAGCACAATATGCTATCTAATCCCAGCAGAAATAGACAAAACCAAAAGAAAACATAGGTTCAAATTTTCAAATAGCTGGGAGCCCAGTGTTATGCAAAAAAAGCAGGCACAATTGTGTACCAATTTGTATATGCAGTTACCATAACTGAACATGGCAATCCAATCTTTGCATACACAGATAGTTAGTTAGATACTGCAATGGTAACCATGCATACTTACTAGCTGTACTGTGGTAGAATTCCTAAGCCCTGCACGGCCAGATCAGGGCTGGGCTACACCTAGGGTGGCCACCATGGGCGACTGGTGCCTCCCGAGTCTGGGAGGCATCAGATCGCCGACGGGAGGGAGTCCCCCCACGGCCGATCACCGACCGGGCTGAGGTCCCCCGCGGCCAGTCACAGACCCAGTGGGGGGGCATGTCCCTGGGTGGCCAATCATTGAGCGTGGAACCACCAGCAGCAAAACTGGTGAAACCAGAAGTGCGCTTCCACCGGCACTTCCAGTTTCATGGCAGGCGCTTCCAGGGGGTGCATGGCCAATCTCAGGGGGTGCACGTGCACCCGCGTGCACCCCCTATGCATCGCCAGTGGTGGCCACCCATCCCTAATTGGTCAGGACAGTCCCGAAATGTGAACATCGAGTCCCAGTCCCAGTCCCAGGCTGAATGACTCCAGGACAGTATTTGTCACCAATTCTCAGTATTGTGCATGGATCCAGGTTTTCCATTCACCACAAAAAATGCGGGAAACAGCGGGCTTCCCCTTATGGGCTGGCAGAATTCCAGCCTGCAAGGGGCTGCTTGGGGCTGGAGGGAGTGGGGTGCAGGAGGTGCCATGTATATGTGCATGGGTACACACAAGCACATGCCCAGGAATACAGCCAGGAAGAAGTGGAAAGCAACTCCCTGCAGGTAGGTCAGTGGAGGGGAGGAGGGGAGCATAGGGAGAGCAGAGGGGACAGATTGAGGTCTCCATGGTAAGGGAGGAAGTGGGATGGACTGGGGCCCAGGGCCAAGGCCAGGACTGGGGCGGGAATGTTCAGTCACAGGGCCAGACAGGGCAGAGCTATGGATGGCTCATTCGGGGGGGGGGCTGGCTCCCCACCACTGTGTGCACTCCCAGGAGAGAGGTGTGGGGGGCATATGCCCCCCCAGATGTGTGCACGGAGCAGGGGCATATGTGGGCTGCCTGCTGCAGGCTCAGGGCTCCCCGCCCTGCTTCCCTCCACCAGAGGCCTCCATGGCCCAGTGGGCAGGACCTAGTGCAGGAGGGTGGAGAGGCTCAGTG